TGTAAATGATCCTGCAATTATAGCAAAGCATTACAGTGCTATGAAATCCTTAGCCTACACACTTTTATTGAGAGTCATGGAGCTGGGTGTGATCTTGGAAGTCAATTAGTTCCACTTCCTGATCAGTGTAAGATCCACCACACAGCATCTCTTACAGATGATTATCCAGCTTCTGTTTGAAATCCTCCAGGGAAGGAGAACTTATCACCTCAAGTGGCAGTCTGGTCTACCAGGTGACAATTTATACAATCTGGATGGTGGTTTGTTGGTTTTTTCATATTGGACCTGAACCAATTTTGTTGTAGTTTGCTGTAGCCAGTGGTCACCAACTGGTGGGCCATGGACCACTGATGGTCCAAGAGAAAATTTTGGTGGTCCACAGAGAAATGTCCCCCCAAAGCACCCCCCAAAGCAATTAATCCAGGCTGTGCAGGAACACAAGGCTGCACCGCTCACACGGCCTGCCCACCCACTGGCCCCCACCCTTCGCCAAGCGCAAACCCTACTTTGAATAGAGCCACGCAAGCTGGAACTGGAAGGTAAGACCAACAGTAGAGGAAGGAAATCCGCCCCTGGATGGCTTGCTGATGCTGATGGCTTGCTGATGCTGATGCAGGCTGGTGCACTTGGGTGGACGAGCAGCTGCTCCCGGATGACCAAAGGGCCAGTCCTGTGACTATTGCAGCTCTGGAAAATGGGACCGACTTTCCCAGCAATGTCAGCAACCACCGTCAGTCAAAATTCATATTAGTGGTCCTCAGGATTTAAAATTATGAGTTTGGTGGTCCCTGAGGTCCAAAAGGTTGGAGACCCCTGGTTTAAGCCAGTGTATCTGGGTCAATAAATAACATTCCCTTTTCTATGTGGCAACCCTTCAGCTGCTCTCATAGCATCCATCAGTTAGCTCTTCTGTCAGTTAAACATATATTATATAAGAAAATCTTTTTAACATTCCTGACAGGGCTAGATAACAAGGCCTTTATTATTTTCATAGCCCTTCTCTGAATTGGGTGCAGCAAGTGGGATCTGACTAGGAAAGAGTAAGGTGGAACAATTCCTTCCCTGAGGCCCCAGTTCTGTGCTCTTGGTAATGTTATTCAAGATAGCATTGGTCTTCTTACTAGCTGCATCATGCTGCTGGCTCATATTGAACTTACTAACCAAAACACCCAGATCTCTTTCACATGCACTATTTGCAAAATCTGTTTTTCCCCCAACCTATACTTAGGGTTTTAGTTTTTCATATCTAGAAGGCAGAATTTTATAGGTATATTCTTAAATGTCAGTGATCAATCCAGTCTAGATGCTTCTGAATCTTCTTTTTATCTAAGATATTAGCAACTTCTCCTAACTGGGTGTCTTCTGCAAACCTGATAAAAGTCCCAGGAATTCTCTTACCTAAACCATTTATAACATATCCATCTGTTATTTTTGAGCTTTTTAACTTTGCAAGATGTCTGACTGACCCTCTCATGCTTTTCTAACATAATGCCAAATTATGGCATTATCATATGCTAATAAACTGCTGATTGCACAGACTAATCACATTTTACTTATTTTCCCCCCTAAAACATTTAGATTTTAATGCAGACCGATTCATTTTTATATGTATATATTTGCATAAAAAATAATTTCTCATAATCAAATCAAAAAACTTTTTCTAGGGAAGAATGGAAGGAGAATGCACCTGTAGCTTCCAACAATTCCACTAGATTTACACAAAAGCTTAGGGAATCAGAAAGATCGAAAAGTGATTTTATAACTGCTTTGTTACTATATTTATCTATCTAGCCCTGGGTAGTTGGATTAGAGGCTTGGATAAATGAACCTGCTATTTACACAGTATTTGAGGGCACCAAAATCTCATATTATTTAACATCAGTTTGCTCAGTGCTGTAAATCTACCCTTTTTTATGTTGCCTGTATAAAAAGAGACTAATTGCAGTCTCCCAAGATTATATCCACCTATGCATTACATACATACTCACAGGCCAAGTGGCTCATTTTATAAGGCTGCACGCAACTTCAGCATGCATTTGTATCCTCCTACCACTCTAAAACCATGCTACTGAAACTTGTTTATAAAATGGTCACTTTGAGGGGTGCATATTCAGGCTGTTCTGAGGAGGTTTGAATGCTTTAAAGTAGGAATGGGAGATGCTTGCTTTCCAGAGACTTCCTGCTTTAAAATATTGCCCTTGCCCAGAGATGGTATTCAGCAGGTTCTGACCAGTTCTGGAGAACCCGTAGCGGAAATTTTGAGCAGTTCGGAGAACCAGCAAATACCATCTCTGACTGGAGATTTTACAGTATCCTTCCCCTGCCACGCCCACCAAGCCATGCCCACAGAACCAGTAGTAAAAGAAATTGAATCCCACCACTGCCCTTGACCCCTAATTCCAACTCTAAAATACCCCCAGAATCCTAAAAGGACACAGTATTGATAATTTAATTCCTTAATGTAAAGAAGAGAATGAGTAGGCTCTCCCATTTACCAACAACTTATTAAGAAAATAAAAACATTGTGTGGATAGAGAGGTTTTATTTGAACTGTTTAATTTGAGATGAGCTGCCCATATGAACTGCCAAAGAAATAAAACTAGACTGTACTAGTTCTTGGGGAAAGAAAACCACTGCCCCGCGTTCAGTCCATCATTGTAGATCACTTTCTACAAAATCTCATGCTTCCTCTCCCTGCTTCTTGTTTAATAGGGAGATAATAGGTATTTACTATTCCAACAGTGGCAGGGGTGTGAAAATTGGTCACTATCGGATTTGGAACTTGGAATTGCACTTTCTAAAAAACTTTCTGCAGAAAGAGGTTTGCAAGTCTTCTGTTTCCACCACCCCCTCCCTCCACAGGCTATCTCTTGCTTTTGAAAACAATTAGCATTGCTTAAGCGTCTTTACTCTTTAAATTGTATTTGACACTCTTGTGGCAAAAGTTTTGAGGCTATGCAAAAAATCCCAAGAGGAGAAAATCATTGTCATGATGGGTGGGCAGCATCTAACTAAGTGAATAATAATAATTACAACAACAACAACAACAACAATAACAATAATGCCTACTGTCCCTGTCCTATTGTTTCTTTTTTATTCATATCCATAATCATGCTTATACTTATACCTGTTATCTAATACTTGCTTGACAAATAAATAAATAACTGAACCCAATTTCAAGTAGCTTCCACATAGGCCAAAAAGCTATATGCTCGTCAACAATATATTTGAAAGCCCAAGTAAAGCCAATCTTTTCTTTTGCAGAATTTGAAATCTTGTATTTGGTGTTAATCTGGCTTCCCAGTTGGTGAGAGCTCTTGCTACTTAGCTCCTGAATCAAAGGCATCAATTACTCTTCTTTTTGGGACCAAAGTCACAGGGGAAAAAAAAACTCCACTGGAACAGTAACCCTCCTTTTGCAACTGGCTGATCCCCTTCTGAAAAGTAGAGGAAACCATTGTCAATTTCACACATGAAATTGATACATCTAGACTAGCAAGAATCTGAAAGCAGTGAAAGCCACCAATCCTAAATTAACCCAATCTCCTATCCTAATGGCAACAAACCGCGGGGAGTGGCAGTATAATAGCAATCATCTTGTTGCAAAATTGTTGACGTGCATCTTTTTACCATCCTTTCAGGGCATAGGCAAGGCAGACCACTGATTAAAGCTTACAGGGTTTTTTTTTTACCCCACATTCTCCTGTCAACCAATTGAAAGAATTATGTTGTTCTTTGTTCTCAGGCACCCAAGTAGGCAAAAGTGAATCTATTCAGGGATCAGACTCACACTGCTTTTGAGAGACTGGGGAGTGAAAACCCTAACCCAATTCCCTGGTTATTGGGTCACACAGACATAGCACAATCTCTGTCCTTTGGATCGTATTTTGCAGACTTTCTTTACCATTTACCAGAATAAGGTCTAGTTGGAAGACTCAATAGAAATGTTGCCACCCCCTGAAGCAGCAGAAACACCTTCCAAAGGGATTGATTTACTATAAAGATTGTTTTCAGTCTTTTTTAAAAATGTACTTTTTTCAGGAACATTAAGATATTGGCTGACTACTTACTTGAATATTTGCTCAGAAGTCTAAGCAGCAGTCATAAATAATGCTGTTAATCATCCCCTTTTTTTGGAAAGAAAGTATTTGTAAAACTTCTCTAACCACACACTTAAAATATGTCTATTTATTTTTGTATAAGAAAAGGCATTCAGTCACTTGGATGAACTGTCTGCCTCTGACTGTATGATGTGATTTATCATCTCACAGTAGGTGTTGCATTGAGACATCACTAAATAGGCCTCCTTAGAAATTTTTGAACCAAGATTTGAAAGCAAAAGAGGACAGCTAAGTTATATAGGACATGTGGCTGAAATTCCTTCTAAGCAATCTTCTATATATAGCAATCTATAAAAGCATTTTTAAATGCATTTTTTGGGACTTAATAACCATGTGGCTTTATCTCAGCTATGTAGTCAGGATTAATACTGAAAGCCTTTGCAATGCTGTAAATTTCCAGCCTGGTCTTGTAGACCGGATAGTTGGAGGGAAAAATATCTGATAATTTCTAAACAGTTAAACAGTGAGCGTATTTATATGTAGAATAGGAAGAGTACGTAATAATTCAAACATTAAATTGGTATTATTTGTATAGATGTTATTCAGTATTTGGAATTTTGAAATGAAAATGGAGTTTTCTCAGATATATGTATTTGGATTACAGTATTGGAATCAAGGGAACTTCAAAATGGATGGTTGCACTTACGAACTGCATGTTTATATCCCATAGTGTTCTGTAATCTAGTTTTTACCTTATCCAACATCTGTATCCAAATTCAAATGTCAGCATGGGAATGGTTATGAATGAACTGGGAAAGGAGGCTGGTCGACAAGATTTAAAGTTGTTGGGTTTGGACAAATGGCCCATGAATATTTCAGCTCTCTTTGTTGAACACTCATGCACACACATACCACTTAGATTCTTATTTGTTCTTGAAGGAATCAAGGAAAATGTGTTGAAGGCATGGTAGAAATATTTGACATGCTGCTGGCCACTTCTTCTCGCTTTCGAATGATGAACGTCCAGGGAGAAGAATTTGTATGCCTTAAATCTATCATCCTACTCAATTCTGGTAAGTAAGACATATGTCTTTACAGTTGAAACTTAGCCTAATGGATGACGTATTCCAGGAGAAGGATAGAAGAATGCAATTATTTTTTTCTTGGATATCTCAGTGGCTTCAGTTATCACTAACCATTTTATTCTTCCTAGCATTATTAGGTGACACCATATTATAGGCCATTCTTATTTGGAAGATTGATTCCAGAAGATGGTTCTGTGAAGTTAGTCCTTTGATCCCTGGCATTCTGCTGTGGGCATGTCAAGTTTCTGTTCTATTTCCTTTTATCATTGATATGATCTATAGGTAGTCCTTAACTTAAAACCACAAATGAGCACAAAATTTCTGTTACTAAGTGAGATAGTTGTTAAGTGAATTTTGTCCCATTTTACGATCTTTCTTGCCACCGTTCTTAAGGGAATCACTGCAATTGTTAAGTTAGTAACAGGGCTATTAAATTAATCTGGCTTCCCCATTGTCTTTGTTTGTCAGAAGGTCACTAAAGGTGACCACATGACCCTGGGACACTGCAACCATCATTAATATGATCCAGTTGCCAAACATTCAAGTTTTTGACCATGTGACCATGGGATGGGATGCTGCGGTGGTCATAAGTGTGAAAAATGGTCATAAGTCACTTTTTCCACTGCTGTTGTAACTTCAAAGAGTCACTAAATGAATGGTTGTAAGTCAAGGACTATCTGCACATGCCTGGGGAGGTTATCTGAGTTGTGAAAGAGAGCAAAGGAATTTCTAAGATGTTAGTCTTATTTGTGGTTCGCCTTTGACATAGTAGCATGGACAGTGGCTACTGTAGTTCAGGTGTTCAAGAATGGCAAGTTTTTCTCTCCTCTTCCCCACTGCCACCCATGCTCCATGAAAAACACACTCAATGTACATCTTTGGGCTGTTCTGAACAAAATAGGAAATTCCATAGAAACAACTGCAGGAAGAAAATATTTTTATTCTGTGTAGTTCTTTGATTGTTGTTAGTACAGTGACTAGTCTTTAGAGTTAAAACTATGTTTTCCAGAACCATCTTGTTCTAGAATAACAATAGTCAAAAAAATCTGTTCTGTATAGTGCATTCTTGGGGCGGCATGGTGGCTAGCAGTTAAGACACTGGGCTTGTCAGCTGGAAAGCAGGCAGCCCAGGTTTGAGACCCAAGCGCCATGCAACGGGGTAAACTCCTGTCCCAGCCTCTGCTCTTGCCAACCTAGCAGTTTGAAAGCATGCAAATGCGAGTAGATAAATAGGTACCACTTTGGTGGGAAAGTAACAGTATTATATGATGTCATGCTGGCCCACATGACTGCAGTAATGTCTTCGGACAGCGCTGACTCAATGGTCTTGAAATGGAAATAAGCACCATCCCCTATAGTGGACAACAACTGGTGGAGTAAAATCCAGAGGGACTCCCATAGTGCATTCTTACCTCCAAGTCCATCTTATTAGGACAGTAACTGGCCCTTGTTGTTTACAACTAACACTTTGATGTTAGATGCTTATGGGGTAACATTTTATTCATTTTTGTTGAATGTCATTTTGTTCTCATTAGCTTACTCTCCGTGGATTGAAGCTGCTGTAGTCAAAGCAACCGAAAACACAACTTATTGTGGCATCAGCATTCTGAACAGATAATGCAGAAAGTGCTTCTGTTTTGCAGAAAGCAAAACAAAACTACCATTAATATATACAAAATAGGATAGCAACACTAATGTTAAATAAGAACAAGATACAGCACTGTGAAGCATACTTTATTTTAGAAACTACTTGAAGAGGAAGATTTGTTAGAAGACAAGACAGCATTCACAGCAGTTATTGTGATTAAGAAAATCAAGAGCAAGAGGCAGAAAATGAACTTTAAATGGCTATCTCTGACTATGGCAATCAAAAGCAATATAGTACCATTGCAGTTAAATTACCTTAGAGCCAGGCTACATATTACATTATTAATGTAAACTCATAAAGAAAAGGCAGGATGTATGTATATAAGATGGAAGATGGTTTTTATGTTTTGTTTGTATATGTTTGTCTTAAAAATAATAATAATAAAGAAAAGGCAGGATTAAATCCAACATACAATGATCATATATAATGCATAATGTATTTACTTTCTATTGAAGTCCCAAAGTGAACACACTCTATTTCCAATTAAAATAAATGACAGTTAAAAGCAATTTATAATTTTTAAAAATATAGTACAACCTACTAATATAATTTAGTGAGAATCCTAAATTACTGTATCTTAAATGTCCATAATGCAGTCCCTCACAGTCCCAAGTGAAAAAACTTTACAGATCTATACAATTAATATCTTGTGAAGGACAGTACAATTCACCATCTATGCATTTTGACTTGTTCTGTCCTGTCCAACTAAAAATTGAGGAAAGAGAGAGGGAAGAAATCTGGCAAACATGCTGATGTTAAAATGGGTTAAATGTGGTGGATCCCGAACTGTATATAGCAGATTTTTACACATACCTTCCATAAATCAAGACAGCGCCGGTGGAATTTCTCCAGGTATGTAGACAACATTGATATATGAGCATAATCAAGATGTCATTTCAGTAACAAACATGATGTTGATCATTGTGCATAAATATTGCCCATTTAATTACATAAAATTATATTTTTCATAAAAAAATAAAATGTCATACTTAATGTATTTGCTTCCCATCTCATTTTAAAGCAACTCTGCAACATAGCATTGGACTCTTCTGAGTGCCATAGGTTATAGCGATTGGGCAAGAGTCTCAACCCAAAATAAGTACTTAGATTTTATTTAGAAGCCTTACAATTATTGTATTTTGTACTAGATTTAGATCTCCAGTAGGGTGTTCTTTGCACTTGACCACATAAGTAACTTTCTTTGGAATGGAGCTTTTGAAACCAGGAAATAAGGTCAGAAAATTAAACTGAAGACCCAATTTTATGTATATTTCAAATTGTTTGCTTTAGAGAAGAAGAGAAATAAAAAAAAGAACATGCACATACTCAGCACTTAGACTGATGACACTAAGAACTTGGCTTCCAGTCTGTTCCCTCCTATATTGTGAAAGCGACAGACTGACTTTTATAGGAATTATCTGGAGATAATGTGTTTCAGCTTGTAGTCCAAGCACCCAGCTGCAAATTCTGAGCTATATAGCCAGAATACTGATGATCTGATAAAGGAGCATGTTGCCTGTGACAATGTGACTTTCTTATTGTGAGATTGATCTATGTTTGTGTTAGGTTCTCTCTTTTCTTTCTGTTCCTTTTTTTTTCTTCTCTGAATAAAAGGCTTGTTGTTTCAAACATGGCTATCTCTGAGAGAGTGCTTTCTTACCATAATAGCCATTGTGATACAGAAACCTATGATTAACTTAATCACGATTTATTCATTTTGTTGAGCCATAGGCTGATCATTTGTGATTCAATATGTTAGTCTGACATACCAGTAGGAAGGATGTTCTTTCACATGGAGCTCTTTAAAGATTATGCCATCTTTGCATTTTAAGCCTCCCAGAGTCATCTGCTAAGATGGGCAGCTATAGAAATCAAGCAAACGAATGAACACACCTTACCACAAAACGTCTAGGCTTGCTAGCGGTCATGCAGCTATTTTCTTCTATTGTATATGTATATGTCAGAACCAGAACCTCCATTCAAATTATATTATTTTTGTATAATATTTGTAAGTGTTAAAGCAATTTTTCAAGTTTGTTTTATGTTTTGTTTTCATTTATTTAGCTCACTGAGAGTTTGAGAAAAAAATTTCTAAGCTGGTGCCCTCCAGATATGTTTGGATTCAGACTTCCAGAAACAGACTTTCAGAAACTGTTATCCCATTCTCATCTGGAAGGTACCAGGTTGAGGAAGGTTGCACTGAACATTTGTTCCATTCTTCCTATTGAGAAGGATAACTCATTGACTTTTGTGGACCTTACTCTCAGATACATGTATACAAAATTACATTTCAGCATTTATAGAACAGCATTTAAAGTTGCTAATTGACCAGACTGCCCATTGGGACCCCATCAAAAATCTTATCATACTTCCCCCAAGGTTCAAATGCATGGGTAGTAAGAAAGACTGCCACATTTATAAGCTAAAGCCATTCAATTCAGAGTTATCTATCTAGATCCGATTGTGATCAGCTTACTAAGGGATGCTCTTATCTGATTATTTAAATGAATATTTTTATATCACCATATTATTTTATATGTTGTTATATATGATATGATATAAAATGAATGTTTTTATATCACATTGTTTTATATGATGTGTTCATTAGACTAATCAATAAATCTGCTATAATATACTGATAATGCTAGGCCTTCTCTCCTCTCCCCTCCCTCCCCTCCCCTCTTTTTTCTCCTCTCCTCTCCTCTTCCCTCCCCTCCCCTCCACCCTTCTCTTCTCCTCCCACAGGGATATACACATTTCTTTCTAGCACCTTGAAATCCCTGGAGGAAAAAGAGCATATCCACCATGTTCTAGATAAGGTTACTGACACTTTGATGCATTTAATGGCCAAATCTGGCCTTTCCCAACAGCAGCAACATAGGCGCTTGGCTCAGCTCCTCCTCATCCTTTCCCACATCAGGCACATGAGGTGAGTGGTTACCCAGAGGCCTTTAGCACATGGCTGCTTAGTGTTGTCTTCTGCGTAAAAGAGACCCTTTCCTGAAATGTGCTATCATGGTTAAAGTTAAGGGAATGAGAAGAGTCATAAGAAACTGACAGTCCAAGGTAAAGTCTGCCAATGTTTAAAATCCCCCGAGAGCCGCTAGAATGCTGGAAGTCATTTAAACTTCAGCATTCATGTGTGTTGCAAATGGCAAAGGGAGGTGGGTCAGATGATGTTCTCAAGGGGTGCATGGGCTTGACCTCAGTTACTTCAGATAGTGCAATGGTTAAATGTGCTAATTTTATTATGACAGCCAAATGTATTTCATGTTACACTTCTGTCGTTGCATTCTTTTGTTTGTTGTATGTTTTCAGTTTTTTCATTCATTCCAGATCCATCCATTATACAATGCCCAAGTAGTTTCAAATGCACTGTAAAGGTCAGATGGGTTTAGAAAAGTCTGTGTTTGTTTTAAAAAGTGCTATAGTACCACTGTCCCTAAAACGGGGTATTAATCTGAGGGTTGCAGATGACTCCTTTGGCCTGATGCCTTCTCTCTGCAATACTATCTCCCTCCGCTGAAATTTGTACAGTTCTCCCCACAATGAATTCCAGAAGTCTTTGAATTCCTGTTATTCTCCCAAGCTTTGGGGAAGGTGTGTGTTGAGCCCCTACTGGGTGCTTGATTTTGTATTTTTTTTTCCAGAACGTGCATGATTCTTTTTCCTTCTTTAAACTGTAAGCCACACAGAATAATCCGGAATTGGGTGGACCCTAAATTTAATTAATTGCATGCATAAATTCTCCATAGTCAGCTTTCGGCTTTTCCAGTATAGTCCAGAATCTTTGTTTTACTGCTCCACTTAGGCAGGCATCGCTATATTTGAACATGCTTTGCATCATTCAGAACAAATCCCCAAGCAATAGTAGAGTCAAACTTGGAATCTCTTGGGATAATTGTATTTAATTTTATTTTTATGTGAACCTCTAGCAATAAAGGGATGGAGCATCTGTATAACATGAAGTGCAAGAACGTGGTCCCACTTTACGATTTATTGCTGGAAATGCTGGATGCTCACCGTCTGCATGCTCCTGCCACTAGGAACACGCCTCACAGTGAAGAGGAGATTTCAAACCAGCTGGCCATGGCACCTGCTTCAATGCATTCCTTACCACCTTGCTATGTGAACAAACAGGAAGAAGAAACCGTGCAAGAAGCAGTCTGAAATCAGATTGCAAACAGCCTACAGGATTCTGAGCATCTCATCAAAAAAATCACCCGGCTTAGATGAACTGGTACCATGTCTAAGCACTCCAATACTCAACAATCACCAGTGATTCCGAAAACAATGATGGTCAACTTCATTAATGGCAAAAAAATTCATAACTTTGGACATAATAGGTGGTTTCATTTTCTTTAAAAAGTGTGTTTGTGTTAGCAAGACACAAGCTTAAGGATTCCTGTACTCTGTTTGCTGGTATCATATAGAGAAGTTGGACGATCTTTCATTTTTAAATCAATTGGGCAAAAATCCCAGCTGAGTTGAGTAGGTGATGTTTACATGTAATTTTTATTGGCTGTCTGGTGGATACAAGAAAAGTACACCACCCAGATACAGTATACAAAGCAATGGTGGTTAAGGACTAAGATTCTGTTAGACTCCCATTAAAAAAAAAAACTAAGAGAAAGCAGAAGGGAAAATATGAATTTAAGATGTTTCTGTTGGGATTCATTCCTTTCAGTGATACATATACAATATTCAAATAGGTTAATCTATCCTCTCAAACTTTGTAGGCTGCTCCAGTTTATTTCAGGAAAAAAGCCCCTCAGTTAACTTAAAATAACTTAAAATAACTGTGAGATTAAGCTAAACTCTTGTGGTATCTCCAAGGGGGCTGACTCAGCCCTACAGGGTTTCCATAGTAAAGATAAACAGGTGGACTGAAAATTCATATTATCATTTAAAAAAAAAACTGACATAATTCAATTCATCGGCCCGCTAAATTCACAATGAGGGTCCAAATGTTACAGATTTCTCCCCATATCCGCCTGAGGGTGAATTTTGGTGCTGACCATTACTAATAGACCATAGCCCGATTAAAGTATGAAATTGTATCAATTAATTGTGAATCACCCAAGGATCTCTGGCTGAAAATATAATTGATCAGTTGTACATATTATACCATCTAATTCATAACTTAAGTGACAGATCACATATGAACTGCCAACCGCCAGGAATGGAATAGTCTGCCCATTCTACTTGCTTGCTTTCCACTGAAGGTAACTTTGTGGGAGAGTTGCACCTGCACATGGTGGTATCTGAAATTAACTTTCAGAAAATCCCAGGTCTATTTAATACAATCAGTGCTCCACAGTAGGGAAAATCACCTGTCTCCTTGAGCAAGGTCCTGCATTTGCATGTGATACTCCCTAATATCTGCCAAAGCAACAGAGTCCCAAAGATGCTTTTTCAAGAGACAGCTGGACTTTCTGGTTTTTCTTCGAAGATGTTTGGCTTCTCAGATGAATCCTTCCACTCCCCACCATCCAGTCAGAGCCGAAGAAACTTCTTGGATGAGAAGTGAAACGTCTTCAAAGAAGAATCAGAAAGTCCAGTTGCCTCTTGAAAAAAAGCACCTTTGGGACAAACATGACCTAGATCAGGGGTCTCCAACCTTGGTGACTTTAAGACTTGTGGATTTCAACTCCCAGAAAGTCCACAAGCCTTAAAGTTGCCAAGGTTGGAGACCTCTGACCTAGATGACTGAGAATCTCCATACACAAAACAACAGCTTTATGTTGAGGCACAACCAGTGGTGAGAGAACAATGAAGAAAGGACAAGAAAGTTGTGCACTGCAACTGAGATCACATCCTGTCCTTTGGGTCCTGCACATGTTGACTCCTTCCAAGGCAAGGTGCACACATCCAGGACAGGGCAGATCAAAATCTACAGATGATCGGCAGCAACCACTTTTGTTAAAATGTATTCCCTCTCCAAATACATGCCTAAATGTTGTGGATCTCCTCTGGTTTTTACAGTGCTCCCACCAAAACTTCTAGTAGCCTGAGCTTGGTTGCTAGTGGCCTTGTTTTTTATTAATACCATAAAGAACCTATTTTCAAAACATAAAAAGAACAAAAATCAATGGTCCTGTTTTGACATTTGATATGAAGTGCCTTGCCAAATATGGATACAGAGGTATCCTTTGAAATAAGACAAAAATGCCCACACTGTATATATGCTGTATATACAATATATTACATAATTCATATTATATTGTAATATATTGCATGATATATTAACAACAAAAAGAGTTCTTGTAGGGCCATAATTAAAGAAAGAAAATTTTAGTCATTTGTACCCAGCTGTTTACTGCAAATCTAAGATATTTTTAACTGGGAGTTCAGCCCCATAGAATGCAGTTGGACATACTTTTGAATAGATAAGCATAGGATCAGGCTACAGTAATATAATTCAGTATTTCTATTTTTATAAGGGAAAACGCTTTTGCTATTTTTCTACTGGTTCCCTAAGGGTAGAAAGGTTTCATTGTATTTGTTGCTTTGGTGGTGGTTGTTTTTCCCATTCACTTCTGCTGGATTGGAACTTCCATCTACGACCTACAAAGAATGCTTGGAAGCTTTCCTCCCCATCCCAGTGAATGGTGAACATTTCAAGTACAGGACCTCAATAGGTCCTTTGTATGCCAATTGAGTAGACTTCTGAGTAGATATGCATAACCGTAACTCAGTTTCTATCTATCCTCATACAATGCAAATGATTAAAATTGGTCTCAGTCTATTTAAGTAATGTACACTACATTCATTTTCCTAACCAGAAACCATGATTTTGTCTTGACAAATTACAGTAACAGGCAAATAAGGGATGCAAATAATAAAGCCAGAGATGGCAAGGGATGGGAACAGGCCTTTAGCATGGGAAGATGTTTTTAGCTTTAATGCCAGCATACCTGGGACAGGTCCAGCTTGAGAATTGAAACTGCTTTTGTTAAATATGTGAAATGTAAGAAAAATATCTAGTTGTCATTATTGTTAGTTTGCTGGAAGCATTGTATTATCCTTATTGCTATTGTTCGTTGAAAGCACCTTACTGATGCAGTGTGTGTGTTTCTGTGCATATAATACACACATGCAAAGCTCACCTATCAGACAACTGAATGTAGCTCTTCTATATAACCAGTCGACAGGTTAAAATACAACAAAACCACAGGGGGAAAAAAACCATTTTCTGCTATCTTTTCTCATATGCAATCATGTGTGCCTAAGGCTTAGCGATTGTTAAAAATCATTATTGCATATCAAATTTTATATTCCTGAGAGATATGAGAGTGTTCACTTGGTCTAGGAGTAAACACACACAAAAAACCTTGTCCTTCAACTACGGACTTTCATGGCAGCTAATTCTTTTAGCTTTTTGACCACATCCAAAGATCATTGACTCAAACGGGTTCCTAATAGCAGGCAAATATAGGTTTGTAACCGACCTTGCTGGCTGGGGAATTCTGGGATTTGAAGTCCACAAGTCTTAAAGTTGCCAAAATCAGACACCTCTGATTTAGAGGCTCAAAGAAGAAAAGAGGGAGCTGTAAATTTTTATTTGGGATTTTATAAGGACGATTTTTCTGTGTGCAAAACTTTTTTTAAAATCTGAGTGTCATTATGGATTCTAGCTCAGGCCGATTTCTTGCCAACCATCTCCACTGCTTCTTTTGGGGCATTGCAAGATGTACTTAGCCCCTCTGGTCAAGTTCTCGTTACTCACAACACATCTATAAATAGATTGATCACTGACTGCTGGGGGAAGAGACTTAGTTGAAGAATTGTGCCCTTCAGTGAAATGGCAATAGCCATTCTGCTTTTCCAGCCAGATATGAATCTGTAATTTTGGGGACTATTGAGAAATTCTTCACCACGAAGGAATCTCAGTGAGAGGAAAATGGCGTGAGAACACAAATTAACAGCTGCAATCTCATAGCTGTAGAAAGCTCGGGATTCTACTGCTCTTTAAGTCCTTGAGATAAAATTGCCCCATGTTTTGTGCAAATAAGGCAGTCCCTCCCACGATTGTCCTCTTAAGCTCCAGCTAAGAAACATTCACCTTTTGTGATGTTTTGATAGCCAGGAGAAAGAAAGACACATCAAGCAGCTCTGGAACAAGAGTACAAATATAAGATTACCAGGTCCTCTGCCTGGCAGGCACAGCCTTACAAATCAAATGTCGCTGGCTTTTTGGGTATCTACAAGCTATCACTTTCTGAGCAGCTTCTCTCCAGAGCGGAGCACTCCCCTAATGAATGTTAACACCAAGTTAATAAGCTCCACACTGTGACCTTGATTAATACCTTTCTGCTGGCTTGGCTACTATCTGAAACTGACAAGACCTTAAACAGTTACATGCCTCTAGCAGGGGGCTGTCAAATTCATGGCCCTCAGGCCAGATGGGTCACATGCTAGCCACGCCCCAAACGGTTTAGTGAAGGGGGGGAAAGTCCCGATATGTCACATGATGCTGCTGAGAAGACGCAAGTTTGACACCCCGGCTCTAGCACGTTCTGCAATTGATAAAACAAGTCTTTCTGATGTTGGAAAATTATTTTCATATACTTGTACACGCAGGCTTAAGCTTATGGGTCGCCCCCCCGCCCCACCTGCAATTTTTGTCACAGATGCCATGAAAGTGAAACAATGTGACATCCTTTCCCTTATTTGTCCCCATTCAGCTATCTGATAACCCTATACAACAAAGCCTCTGCTTCTCTGTGAAAAAAATTGCAATCATTGTGAGGGCTCAATGTGAGACCCTCACATTGAGGGTTGTGCAATCATTGTGAGACATGATTGATAAAATTGATAAAATCAATCATGTTGCTATAATTACAGAAAGTGGACACCACCAAATTGCCGTATCCTTCTTGCCCTGACAATCAGATGATTGATTCAGCACCATATCAGGCTTCTGTATTGTGTTCGAACTTATATATATATCTCACAGCCTTATTAATCACCCTGAACTGAAATGGGCATTCCTATTTACACCAAACAGTGCATCCATCTGGTTTAAAAGGCACCTAAATAAACATTGCAAAGTATGTCTTCATTCACACAGTGGTCCTATGCACAACTCTTGCTGGATATTGATGCTAGTGTTTGCCATGTTTTGGTGTGAATCTGAGCCTTTATTTTATACACATGTTCTTAATGCTATTGCTTTTAACACTAAGTTAGAAGCCAACTGCTCAGCCCATGGACTTTTGGATCTCAAGCTTTTTGGGTTTTTTTGCAGAATCAGTCAAATGAATCAAAGCTCGCTCTTCTGAAAGCTCTTTTCAAACGCACTGTGGCTTTGTAACGTGATCCTTCAGATCTGAAGTGAGCACTAGTCAAGATCTGAACTTCATGCAATGCTTTTAAGCTATCAGCCTAACATTGTTGAAGTATAATTGTCCTATAAACCTTGGAGGTACCAAAAATACTTTTGATGCTCAAAACCCTTTTTCCTGTCATTGGTGCATTCTCTCATTTTAATTCAATTCTGGATGTATTTCGGTCTTGAATGATGTTCTGTAAACAATTGTTGCCTTCTGAGGGACTTTACAATTTTGCACTGTCCTGGAAAGATTTTTTGTAATGAACCTATTTGTTTTGCATTCAAATGTGCCTGAATTTATATGCTGCCATGCTGCCAATCTGTCTTTAGTAGGAATGTTATTCTGCAATGCACCTTTTAAAACAAAGCCGTTTGCTCCTCAGTCTTGAAGTGCCCGCTGGATTATGATAAATATCAATAGTCAAAAGATTCTAGTTAGAAAATAAACCCAACAGGCTACTTTATGCCACATTATTGTACTTTTTTTAAAATGAAGCTTTGTGCACTACATTACCTTTTCATTGTAAAGTTTTCCCTTTATTATGAGGCTCATATGCCATAATGTATTTGTTGAATTATTCTGCTCTTTTTGCTAAAGCACATAATATCATAATTGGTGTATCTGTTTTGTTAGAGTTGCTTTGTTAAATGAAAAAAAAGGTTTAATCCTTTGTTTCTTTTTTTTTGCACATTTGAAAGAATGTTACAAACAGCTTTTAAAAAAATCAGCAGGATACTTGATCTGTCAAGATTTTCTCAGCTTTGATGTTGAAATAAAAAAAGTGAAGGACACCAATGGGATTTGTCAATGGATTTCTTAAATTTATCTCGGAGGGGGTTAAATCGCTTAATTAATTCACACTCACATTTGTCTCATTTAGCTGTATTTGTTTCTCTTTGAATCTAAGATAATGTTATAGAATGCTTAATAATGTGAAGAAAAAGATAGGAATAATTAAAAAATTATTTAATCATTAATAATAATTAATATTTAATTATTAATAATACATAAATAACTTAATAATTAAAACACAATTAAGAAAAAGTCCCAATGGTTTTAAAACATAGATAAAAGGGGCAAAATCTTGAAATCTATCATCTTAAAGCAGATTTTGTTAAATATGCAGTTTTGGGCTGGTTTCAGTCAAAAAGTCTAATCACCCTCTAGTTACTCACATCAAGCCCATGCTGTTCATCCTTCATCTGTCCCTTACTCCATCAATAATTGTGAAAACAAATTTGTAAGCCTAAGATTTAGAAATACAGTTCAGGATTGGAGGTCTGTATGAGTTCAGACATGTACCAGTGTCAAAGTGACTTTCCCTTCTTGGTCAGAAGCTGAGATCCACATTGGATTAATTGACGTCATGTTAAGGCGAGGCATATCCCAATTTTAACCTTTGTGCATGCAGGCTTAAAATGTTTTGGTAATATTGAGGGGGTCAAATTATTTCCGAAGGGGTTAACTTTAGGGTGTCTATAATATCAATCCCAGGTAGTTCCTTTACAGTTGAACGATGCTTTCTGAATCAGATAATTAGGCAAGAGCACACAAGCTTTTCATAGCTTTACTTGGACTATTTCAAAGGGATCAGAAGCATCCTTCGTGGTAGAAAACGGCTTTTTAGGATGTTCCCCACCCATTAATGCTACATCTGGGACAGAAAACAACTGGGAAGAAGAAAACAAATCCTGTTTTAGGCTAAATATGATTATTAGTTAAGTGTTTATTGCTTGTCTTATCCTAACCATGCTACACACACAACAATATTTTGTTTTTCAGATGTTATACCAACATAGCCATTAGTAAATTCCAGATAAAAGATCAGTTAATAACAGAGGGGGGGGGGCATTATAAGAGGGAAATTGGGTCAAGGAGAGGAGAGAAATTGGTATAAAATTAACTATAATTTATAATGAAGCTATTAACAAATAAATTTAATACATACATTCAACAAATTAACGGTGGCCTGGGAGGATATGAATGCATTGCATATACCTCCTGATTAATGGGTCCACAACATTCATGAAATTAACAGCTCCCAGCATCCCTCACCATCATCCCTATTGGCTGGAGCTGCTGCTAAGACTTGTCATTTGGCAACCTCCAGAAGGCCACCTGTTCCATCTCCCCAAAGCGCCAACTCATCCCATCTGGAATCTATTAGTTTTGAATATTGATGCTAATAGAACAAACATAGTGGTTTTTAACATCTTGGTTCTTCAAATAAAATACATTAAAACAACACAGAGCACTTTGAGTTTTCCTTTAAGATGTTTCTTTCTACTCTGATGAAGAGCCATTTCATAAAATTCTGATTTTTATCTGCTGTTTGCAACGCATAGCAAAGTTTGGCTTCTACCAACATTGCCGTGCCGTTTATTTATCTCTTTCAAGCAACTTTATATTTGGCAGTCTAAATAGATGGCTTTCATCAGGTTGTCATTTATTTTGTAACGCTGTATACAAATCACTTAACTATGATTAAGATCAAGAATCTTTTCTTCAAACAACATATTAATACTACTGTTGAGCCATCATCTCTGATGCTTCCAAATTCCACATCAGCTTTGGAACTAACAGTTTATAACTTGGGACCCATCTATCTTTCTTTCTTTCTTTCTTTCTTTCTTTCTTTCTTTCTTTCTTTCT